CACCTTGCAGCCACTAGGGGTGCTACATTTGTTGTTGAGTTTTTTGGACCTCATGGCTCTCTGTAGGAGGCCATTTTGGGTTTCTCATTCATTGATAAGAGCATGTTGTGGACACTTGCCTTATGAAGGATCTAAATCCATCCTGGACTAGGAAGGAATCGTATAATCATTGTCTGTGAGTAAAGTGTGATTAAGATGTTTCTTTTCACGACCATGCTTTCATTTTACGCAGATGGCTATGTTAGACCATGATTTTTGTGTTCTGCAGTATACCTTGTTCGCTAGGTGATAGTTTTCGGTCAGATATATTTTCAGTCAGTACATGTTAATTTGATTGACATTAACAAGCATGTTATACTACAAGATATGTTTATTGATCGTGTATCATAACTGATTTTCTTTTACTTTATTACAGTTTTACTCCATTTTGCATTCTGTCAATGAATAACGGTGGCACACAAATAAATCAACATTTATTGACTACGGAATGTGGAAGGAGTTATCTGTCTGCCTAGTTGAGGAAGGGACTCTTTAATGAGGGCGGAACAGTAAAAAGACAGACTTTACAGTGATTTCAACCTTGGTGGATAACAGATCAGTACGGCTCAACCCCTAGATCTTTGAAAGACAAGATGTCAGCTGCAGAAAGGGGAGGCCACGAGACCAGATCTGTCTGCTCAGGCTCATCAAAACACTCGGTAAGTCTGCAACAAGCTTGGCTGCGGTAAGAGCACGGCCAAAGCTGAAGCAGCACGTACCAGAGCATCCTACGCACAAAGGGAAATTGAAATGAAAGTAAAAAGGGCTCAACTAAAGGTAGAGGAGACACGCCTTGAAGCAACACTGGAAGCAATCCAGCAGGAGAAAGAGGCAGAGGCAGCTTTCGCTGAAGCTACAATATTCGAAGCTGCTGTGGAAATGCCAGAAATAGAGGAGCTGTCTCAAATTCATCACACTGATAAAGGTCTTTCATATCGATCAGCTGAGAGGACTGAAAGTACGTTGAACACCAGCATGCCTTCATAAACGCTAATCAGCTATTAGCACCCCAATACAGTCCACATTCTAATGCTGAAGTTGACTTGGCTCGCCCAGAAGAGGCTAATCACAAGCAACATCGTGACTTTCCCTCACATCACATACCTATGTATAACCAACATGTGGGCAGCACTCATCTCTATACCCCCATCTCTATCAAAGCAACCTCTACTAACAGATGTCCACAAGTTAGTTTCGAGCCTAAAAGGGAAGGTGAAGGGAGCACGCCATTGGCTGGATTAGTGGTTAAAAGCTCATGGCCACCCAGAGACAATACAGAAGATAACGACCAGCTACGCACAGGAGCAGCTAATGAGCCTGCTGAGCCACGTTCCAATGTGACAGATCTAGCTAAGTTTTTAGCTCGCCGTGACCTTCTTACAGCCGGACTCACTAAATTCAATGATAGACCGGAGAATTATTGGGTATGGAAGTCCACATTCGCCAATGCAATAGAAGATCTGGACTTGAAACCAAGTGAAGAACTAGACCTGCTTGTTAAGTGGCTTGGACCGGAGTCTGCTGAACATGTGAGGAGGGTGAGGTCAGTTCACATCAGACACCCTGCTGCAGCCCTTAGTATGGTCTGGGAGAGGTTAGAGGAGTGTTATGGATCTGCGGAGGCAATGGAGACTGCTCTCTTTAACAAGCTTGAATATTTTCCCAAGGTCTCTCAAAGAGACTCACAACGCCTGAGAGAGTTAGGTGACCTGCTCCTTGAAGTGGAAGCAGCCAAAGAGGAGGGTTACTTACCAGCACTGTCCTACCTAGATACAGCACGTGGCATTCACCCTATCGTGGAGAAACTACCATTCAGCCTTCAGGAAAAATGGATGGTACATGGGACAAGGTACAAACAACAAAACCACATAACCTTCCCACCGTTTTCTGTCTTCTCTAGCTTCATTCGTGAAGAGGCGAGGATGAGGAACGACCCAAGTTTCGTCACCGCAAACTCAAGCATCCCGCCACATAAGGGAGAGAGATTCCAGGGAGAGAGATTCCCTCTGAAATCTTTAAGAACACCTGTAGTTGTACACAGAACAGAAGTGGAGAATACTCAAGAGAAAGTTGAAGCCAATGGATTAGACAAACTTAAGAAGGAATGTCCTATTCATAAGAAGCCCCACCCCCTGCAGAGGTGCAGAGTCTTCAGAGTGAAGCCCCTGGAGGAACGAAAAACCTTCCTTAGAGAAAACGGGATATGTTTTCGTTGCTGTTCCTCAATTTCGCACCAAGCAAGGGACTGCAAAGCAGTTATACAGTGTTCTGAGTGCAGCAGTGAGAAGCACATTGCAGCTCTTCACGCCGGCCCAGCACCCTGGTCAACTAAACCACAGCTTAACCCCTCTGAACAGCATGGCGGGGAGGCAGAGGAAGCTCACTCTTCTCTAATCACTACGTCAACCTGCACAGAGGTCTGTGGAGGCACCACAATAGGGAAGTCTTGTTCCAAAATCTGCCTAGTTTACGTATACCCAAAGGGTCAGCCAGAGAGGAAAACCAAGGTATATGCCATTCTAGACGACCAAAGCAACAGGTCTTTGGCCAGATCAGCCTTTTTTAAGATGTTTGACATAGTTGATGACACCTCCCCTTACACACTCAGAACGTGTGCAGGTGTGTCAGAGACTGCAGGCCGGTGAGCAAGGGGTTTCATTGTAGAATCTGCAGATGAAAGGACCAGTCTTACCCTCCCCACACTCATCGAGTGTGACCAGCTACCTGATAATAGGGCTGAAATCCCCACTCCAGGAGCTGCTAGGTACCATTCTCACCTGAAGTCCCTAGCTACTGAGATACCCCCTCTTGACCCCAAGGCCAATATTTTGCTTCTCTTAGGAAGGGATATAATTCAGGTGCACAAGGTTCACGAACAACGAAATGGGCCTCTCTTAGCTCCCTTTGCACAGCGTTTAGCTCTTGGTTGGGTGATAGTAGGAGAGGTCTGCCTTGATGGTGCACACAAACCTTCATCTGTGAACACCTTCAGAACAAACATTCTTGAGAATGGACGCCCAAGCCTGATGAGTCCTTGCCCAAACAAAATCAGAGTCAAGGAGGGGTTCAGTCACAACCACCAGTCTCAGAATTCCTTTATCACCCAGGAAGAAAATGGGGCCCCTCTGACAGACTTAATGGGTCTTGTGGGAGAGTCTGTATTCTGCTCCACAAAGGATGATGACAAGACTGCGCCTTCTATGGAGGATCTTGCCTTTTTGAGAATTATGGATAGTGAATGCCATCAGGATGAATCCAATAGCTGGGTCGCTCCACTTCCTTTTCGGAGTCCACGACAACGCCTTCCTAACAATCGCGAACAGGCAAGGAATCGCCTCACTTCACTGACCCGCACATTGAGGAAACATACAGAGAGGAGGGAACATTACATTCAATTCATGAATAAGATCTTTAAGAACGGACACGCAGAAGTTGCTCCACCCTTACAACCAGAAGAAGAGTGCTGGTACCTACCTCACTTTGTAATATACCATCCACAGAAACCTGGTCAAATAAGGGTGGTATTTGACTCCAGTGCCCAACATTGTGGCATGTCCCTTAATGATGTCCTCCTCACTGGCCCTAACATGAACAACAGTCTGCTTTGGGTATTACTGCGATTCAGGAAGGAGCAGGTCGCCGTCACGACTGACATAGAGCAGATGTTTCATTGCTTTGTGGTTTGTCAGGATCATCGCAACTTTCTTCGCTTCCTCTGGTACCGCAACAACGACCTGGATGGTGATGTAGTGGAGTACAGAATGCGGGTTCACATCTTCGGTAACAGCCCATCTCCATCAGTTGCCATGTACGGGCTCAGAAGAGCTGCCATAGAGAGAGAGAGAGAGAATACGGAGCACGGGCAAGACAGTTCGTCGAGCGGAACTTTTATGTGGATGACGGACTGGTGTCCCTTCCCAGTGAGCAAGAAGCCATCACCCTTCTTCGAGACACTCAAGAAATGTTGGCTCTCTCCAATCTTCGTCTTCATAAAATATCTTCCAACAGGGTAGATGTGATGAAGGCTTTTCCTCAAGAAGATCTGGCGAAGGGGCTGAAAGACCTGGATCTCAATACAGACCCACCTCCTATGCAAAGAAGTCTCGGAGTTAGCTGGGATGTTGCAGGAGATGTGTTTACCTTTCAAGTGTCGACGGAAGAGAAGCCCTACACAAAACGTGGGGTTCTGTCGACCATCAACAGTTTGTTCGATCCGCTGGGATTTGCTTCTCCTGTCAGTATTCAGGGAAGGTTTCTACTGAGGGAGCTGATAAATTTCAAGACTGGAAACTGTGGAGGGACTCACTGAAGGAGATCGAACAGATAAAAATCCCTCGGCAGTACACCACCATATCTCTAAGCCAAGCTCAAAGCAAAGAGCTATGTGTTTTCTGTGATGCCTCCATAACTGCAGTCGCTGCCGTAGCCTACTTACGAGCAACCAATGCAAAGGGGAAGACAGAGGTTGGCTTTGTGTTTGGCAAGGCCAAACTGGCTCCACGTCCTGAGTTAACCATCCCAAGGCTTGAGCTGTGTGCTGCTGTTTTAGCAGTAGAAATAGCAGAAGCAGTGGTGGATGAGCTGGACGTCAAATTCAATGCCATTACATTCTACTCTGACAGTAGAGTGGTTTTGGGTTACATCCACAATGAGACGAGACGATTTTATGTGTATGTACATAACAGAGTACAACGCATAAGGAGAACCACCAGTCCAGAGCAATGGAAATATGTCCCAACTAACCAGAACCCGGCTGATCATGGCTCAAGGGTGGTTGCAGCAGGCACTCTGCTACAAACAACATGGTTGTCAGGACCTGCATTCCTGTTGAAAGGAACTGAACTGGAAACTTCCCCTCCGTCCTTTGACTTGGTTGAACCTAGCTCTGATGTTGACATCCGCCCACAGATTACATGTCTTACCACCAAGGCTACCACAGATGGTCTGGACATCAAGCGCTTTGAGAGATTCTCCAGCTGGCGATCACTCACTTGTGCAATTGCAAGGCTTCAGCATGTTGCCAGTTCCTTCAAGAAAGACAGCAACTGTAAAGGAAGGCACATTCATGAAGGGCCCTGTCCAAAGGAAGATTTGGACAAAGTGAAGACCATCATCGTTGGTAGTCTGCAACAAATCGCTTTTACAGAAGAACTGGAATGTGCTAAGAAAGGAATGGATATTCGTAAACAAAGCCCACTGTACAACCTGTGTCCTTATATCGACAGTCCTGACCTTCTCAGGATTGGCGGACGCCTTTCCAATGCTAGCCTTGGTGAAAATGAGATTTGTCCTCTGATTCTCCCTGGACAGAACCACATCACAACTCTATTAATCCAACACTATCATGGACAGGTCCACCATCAAGGGCGTCATAACACTGAGGGTGCCTTAAGAGCTGCTGGTCTGCGGATTATTGGAGGGAAACGCCGTGTCAGTAGCATTCTGCATCATTGCGTTACATGCAGAAGACTTAGAGGGGTTGTAGAGACTCAGAAAATGTCCGATCTACCTGTTGACCGACTCAGTACCGACCCACCTTTCTCCTTTGTTGGTCTGGATGTCTTTGGACCTTGGATGGTCGTGGCACAGCGGACTAGAGGAGGAGTGGCCAGCAACAAACGGTGGGCAGTGCTTTTTACATGTATGAGCACAAGAGCCATAAATATTGAAGTCATAGAGTCTATGGACTCCTCGAGCTTCATAAATGCTCTGCAACAGTTCTTCTCCATCAGAGGACCAGCCAAGCAGATACGATCTGACTGTGGAGGAAATTTTGTTGGTGCTTGCAAAGAGCTGCAGATAGAAACAGTAGTCACCAACAAAGAAACACAGGGATATTTAAGCGACAGCGGATGTAAATGGGTCTTCAATCCACCACACTCATCACATATGGGAGGCAGTTGGGAGCGTCTTATTGGGCTCACAAGACGCATCCTGGACTCCATGCTGTTAAAACTTGGCCCGTCAAAGCTTACCCATGAAGTCTTGACTACATTCATGGCAGAAGTATCGGCTATAGTGAATGCTCGCCCTTTGGTCCCTGTATCCACTGATCCAGACAACCCACTTATCCTGACACCGGCAACACTCCTGACTCAAAAGATCAGTGCACTTCCTCCCCCAAAAGGAGAGTTTGATGGCGACAATCTCTATGGCAAGCAGTGGAGGCAAGTTCAAGGTCTGGCCAACACCTTTTGGCATCGCTGGAGGACAGAGTACCTACCCTCTCTGCAAAAACGGAGAAAATGGCAAAAGGAAATGCATAATCTTCAAGCTGGAGACATTGTAATACTCAAAGACAAGCAGGTAAAACGAAACTATTGGCCCCTTGGTATTGTGGTCAAGACATTCCCCAGCACAGATGGCAAGGTGAGGAAGGTTGAAATCAAGACAGCAAACGATGGTTCATTCAAGACCTTTCTACGCCCTGTCTCAGAGACTGTTCTACTCCTCTCCCCAGAGACATTGTAGTTGGTTTGTGTTAGTGTGCATTGTACAGTTGTGGTAGCATCCTTTTAGATACCAGGCGGGGAGTGTTCTGGCCTAAGCAAGGAGCTGTAGGTCACCTTGCAGCCACTAGAGGGTGCTACATTTGTTGTTGAGTTTTTTGGACCTCATGGCTCTCTGTAGGAGGCCATTTTGGGTTTCTCATTCATTGATAAGAGCATGTTGTGGACACTTGCCTTATGAAGGATCTAAATCCATCCTGGACTAGGAAGGAATCGTATAATCATTGTCTGTGAGTAAAGTGTGATTAAGATGTTTCTTTTCACAACCATGCTTTCATTTTACGCAGATGGCTATGTTAGACCATGATTTTTGTGTTCTGCAGTATACCTTGTTCGCTAGTTTTCGGTCAGATATATTTTCAGTCACATACTGTTAATTTGATTGACATTAACAAGCATGTTATACTACACAGATATGTTTATTGATCGTGTATCATAACTGATTGTTTCTTTTTACTTTATTACAGTTTTACTCCATTTTGCATTCTGTCAATGAATAACGGTGGCACACAAATAAATCAACATTTATTGACTACGGAATGTGGAAGGAGTTATCTGTCTGCCTAGTTGAGGAAGGGGACTCTTTAATGAGGGCGGAACACCTACCTTAGAGACCAGAAAATAACCAGACTTGTTTGAATATTTAAAATTATAAATAAAATGCTGTGACTAAATCCACAGAAAACTACAGTCCCAGTGATTAATAAGTATCAAGGAGCCACGGCTAGTAGTTTCTCACAGGAAAGAAATGTAAGAATATCAGTAGACTAATGCAAGAGTAAATTGGAAGCAACTGGGCTTGCACTTCAACCAATCCTCATAGTTTCATTATAGCAAAATACCTACAGTTAGTCTGGCACTATAGGGAAATGGAATTTCGGATGGAATTAAGAAAAATTACCTAATGGTAGTATCAGTATGAAGAGTATTATTACAACCCTGCTTCACAGTATACACAAAATTTAACCTCTATTGTGTAGATTATCAAAAATCAAAAAATGGGATTCAAACAGGCTAAAATCCATCTCTCTCTCTCTCATCAATAATTGAATAAACAAAATAAATAAAGTCACAATCTCTAGAGGTTCCATTTGATTTGACTAAAATTAAATGAATAAGTAGCTAAGTTAGAAAAGAAAGTTAATTAATGAGATGGAAAAGACAAAAGGAAAAGGAAAAACGTTAGCCTAAGTGATCTGTCAAAAAACGTCAAAACGAACGCTGTCAGGGTTGCTAGGAGACAGAACAGTTAGTGACGCAAGTAGGAAGTCCTCTCATAGACAAGACCGTCTCATTTCGGAGAGCGCTCGGAGCCACGTCCTCCGTAGACCAAGAAGACCTTGGCCTTCGAAGGCTGCGGCCGCTGGAATGGGACACAGCTATTAAATCTGTTCCTGGTCCAGATTTTGTTCCTGGTCCAGGTTGTGGTCCTGGATCTGGTTTGGGTTGTGATGGTGCTGTGTTGTTTTGCAGATGGTGAACCTCCATAAAGAGGGACTTACTGTTCCGGAGCCTCCAGCATACGATGTTAACTGACACAGCGTCACAAACCTGTTTCACGCTGACATGAGATTCGACTGCAACGTGAAATAAATTTAATAACTTTAAAACAAAGTGATTATAAAATGTAAAAACTGAAACTTAAACACTGAACTTTGAATCAAAATGTTTTCCAGAATAAACTGTTGAAATCTGACTCTCAATAAACTCCTTTCTGCTGACAGACTTTTTGTCTTCTCATCATTTCAAACGCATTAGCAAAGCCTCCACTGATCATGCTAACGCCATTAAAGGGAAACGTTATGAGTGTTGTTCACCACACTGATCCTTGGGTCACATGTCCGGTCTGTTCCCGTCCTGTGGTTGTACAAGGTGTCTCCTTGATTGACATTTTAACCTCTTCTGGAACCGATTGTTCAGTTAGGATGACATTCAACCGAACTGGTAAAGCTGCTAACGGAGTTTATATATATATGTTCATCCGGAGGGAAGTTCAAGCACCAATAAAATGTAAAATAATCTGCATCTCTCTCCGTATATTAATGAAATCATGACTAATCGGAATAAGAATTCTGCTTAATGTTATACCTCCTGGAGTTTTACAAATCACTCAGATTAGTCAATTGCCAAAACTTTTTTAATTGCAGTGATCATTTAAAACAACATCCTCTGATAAATAAACTAAAGTACTTTAAATGCATTTCTGTGGTGTTCCTGTAGGTGACCATGATGCAGCCAGACTGCCAGACTGTTTGACAAGTCTTTGATTGAATAAATTGAAATGGAATCTCATGCGTATCTTGCTATGCTTATTGGCTTTAGATGTTTAATTTTAAATAAGTTTGAAGGCCAATTATCTCAGACGAGCCCGGCTGTGACAAGCTGAGCTCGTCTGTTAGCTTTGCTGTTGTCTTAGCTGTTGTTGGTCAAGAAGAAATTAATGTCAGTTCAAGGCCTTTTCAAATGTGAACTATAAACTTAACTGCTAAATTATTTTACTGTGACCAACATTTTGTAGTGCTCCAGTTAATCAGAGAAAGTCAATTCAGATTTTAAAAAAGTTTATTTAAACATTTTATGAAAAAAAAACAACCCCTGGCTTCATTAACCACGTGGAAAATAAGTAAGGGAGACCATCAGGTCGAATTGCTGGGAGAAAGTATAAAAAATAATTTAACAAAGAAATCCCAACAAAAATCTAATAAAGTTTAGAGATCCTGGATGATTGTTTGACTGTTAAAATATGATGGAAAAATCAAATCCAACACAACCCTCCAGCATTTGGCCTTTCAAACACAGGGCAACATCATGTAAAGAAAATAGCACCATTGAATATTGACCAGGATCTCTGTGTTTTCTCTGAGGATGACTATGGTAGCCTTCTCACTGTTCACTGTCACAAAGCACCAGACTCTGTCCACCTTCTTCAGACATTGATCAGCTCCTCTGGGTGATGGCAGAGAGGACTCTTCATCTGGGAGAGCTGCTGGTGTAAGGTCATTTCTACCACAGTGGATGAGCAGAGCATCGGGCACAGCTCTTACTCCAAGCACAGGTGAAAAAAGGAGGAGGTTCCTTCAAACTATGTGACCCCACCCTGACCTCTGTAACAGGTGTGCAGACAAAGGTTGAAATGAGTCATTTTTAGGTTCAGTTGATTGTAAAATGGAAAAGAAAACATCACCTTCCTATTTAACATTTAGCTGGTGTATGACTCAGTGTGATTTTTATTTTATTTTAGAAGACTGTATTGTTAACAATATCTTGTTTTGACAATCCTCTTATGAAACTTCAAAAAAGGATATATAACTTTTAACAGATGATTTTAACTTACGCTTTGCCTCTGTGGAAGATATCAGACCAGCTGCTTTTATCTCTTCTTTGCCTAAATAAAGATACAAAAACAACTGAATTACTGTTTACTTAAACATATTAGAAAAGCAGACATGAATCACATTGTAGACTATCAGTTTCTAACAAAATACAACATATCTTACCACCTGTAGCCTACGGTCTGTGATGCTAACCTAGCTTAAATATAGAACGATTTCGGCAGAAACAGAGGACCCAGCAGCCCACGTATTTTCAATAATGATCAAAATAGCGGGATTTTTTAAAACAGTGTGTTTAAATATTAGACTTTAAATACGGTGGTTTGTTGTACTTACACATTTCTTCATAAGACTCGTAGACCAGCAGAGCGCTTTCGGCGTAGCTGGGCTGCGTAAGTCATCAGGGCAGTACGCTAAATGGGCGGGGCGTGTTACCAGGGCTCCTGCCCCCGGACCCTACAGCGCAGACTCTGGCTCCAAATGACGTCAAAATCGCAAAATGGAAGCGCCCGTAAGGGGCGTATTTTGGCTTCAAGAATGTTGAGTGGGAACAGCTACAGTGCGCGCCCACTGGTCCTACCCAATTGACCCTGGATATTGGAATCCGCCCAAATTTCCAATAAGGTCTCTACCTCCGCATCGCACCAACGTGAACCCTTTGCCGCCATTGTTTAAAATGATTGTCGAGAGGAGGGGTCGCAGTGATTATACGTAATTTCCTGCTTGTGCTCGTGCATGATGTGTACCGTGCCGAAGGACTGCCGTAAGGCCAGCCGCTCCTCTCTTTTACATGGTGAAGTGAGCCGCAAGGAAGGATTTTTATGATTGTAAATTTAAAGGTGAACACACACACACACACACACACACACACACACACACACACACACACACACACACACACACACACACACACACACACACACACACACACACACACACACACACACAAAGTAGGTGTTTATTACAGAGTGACATCAGAGTACAAAGTGATGAATCATTAACCTCGGACAGTTTTTCAGTCTGATTAGGAAGCTGCAGGTGAGAACTCAAGTCAGTCACCCTAACCATCGACTCACCTGAACAATCGACTCACCTGAACCATTGACTCATCTAAGACTGTTAAACCAGATTCAGACCAGAGATTTGTCAAACCAGGACCATGACTTCGTCAGTGTCAGCCTCAGCAGGTGGAATGCTGGTAGTCACCCAGGTGTACCCTCCTAATTCTCAGCACCAAGGGCAGCAGGTGTGTGAGGGGATGCAGACGTTCAGCCGGGCACACCCGCTTGCTGTCGGGGTGAGTTTGACACTGACCAGGTGATCCGAATTTTCTCCAGTTTTAGTTCATTATTATATTGTGAAATCTGTGTGTTTCTCAGGTGTTTCATGTTGTAAACCTCCGAGGAAGTCTCTTAGATTATAAACATGTGACAGACACCTAAATCAAAGATGAAATCTTTTTTTTTGATTTTCTCTCAAAGTGTCAGTTTGATTCTTTCGAAGCTGTTCCCCCTTTTCATCAAGGTTCCTCTTCCTCCTCTTCCTCTTTTTCTGTGGCCTCTGCAGACGGTGCAGATCATTATTGGTGCGATGGTGTTTTTGTTTGGGGTTGCCATGGCTGCCACCCAACCATTCTCTGGGGGTGTACAGTGGTTTCTTCGTATGGGGAGCTGCGTTTGTGAGTTTTTACAGATTTTTATAATTTATTTAAAGTTTAATTATAAAGTTCCATCCATTTTCTGCTGCTTATCCGTGGTCGAAGGTTGCAGTGGGAGCAGGTGAAATCAGTCGCACCCGACTTCCCGCTCTCCAGCAACCTTTTTCCCCAGCCCAGGTTTGAATCCCCCAGTAGATCTATAGAGTTCCCAGGATTTCCAGGACCCCACCCACAGACTCCAGGACGGCTGTTAGGTGCATACGCACCTGTGCGAATAGAATGTCATGTTTCATGTTATAAACACATTTTAAACAAAACATTAAAAGTTAAAATATTTATTTTCAAATATTGAAAAATGTAGATTTTAAAGTTTGATAATGTTTTCCACATCTTTGAAATCTTTCTGAATATACTAATCACTTTTTAAATATTAAAGTGTTTTATTTTTATCTGATGTTCTCAGTACATCACAGCCGGCTCTCTCACAGTGGCTGCTGGGAAATCTTCCAACCGCTGCCTGGTGAGTAACTTCCTGTTTCCTGTCAGTAGCTGCTGTTCTCCACTGGAGGGCAGTGACACCAATGAAGCCTTGGTAATGTTAGCATCATGATAATAACTTAAAATCTCCCAGCATGCTTCACTTCTCATGTCGTCTGGCGTGTCGTCTGCTCCCTTCCAGGTGAACACCGCTCTCGGGTTTAACGTGGTTGCCTCGGTGGCGTCGGGTACGGCCATCATCCTGTACACTTTGGACGCTACAATATCGTTTTGCTTCGACTGCCCCTACCCGGTATTTAGTTTGCTTTCTTTTTTCTCAGATTTCAGAATAAGTAGACACCAAACAGCTCCACGTCTGATCAGCTCCATGTCTGGTCAGACCTCCATTCTTCTTCATGTCTTTTAGAGGACTGGGGGTCTTCTGGGAGTTCTGGAGGAGACAGTTTGCAGTTTATTGTGGTCAGGGTCAGCTCCTTGAAGTCTGCAGGAAAACGGGGGGATTGCTCCCTCAGGGGAGTGAGTCTCTGCCTCAGGCGAAGGAGTTCAAGTCTCTCAGGTCTTCTTCAAGTGAAAATTGACGTAAGATGGACAGACGGGTTGGTGCAGCATTAGCAGTATGGCGAGCATTGAACCCGACCGTTGTGGTTCAGAGGGAGCTCTGAAGTCTGGAGACAAGGCTCTAGGGGGGGAGCTGGTTGTTGTACGGGGGGGGAGGAGATGTAGGTCAACATGCCTGCCGTGACTGTAACTGAGCCCCAGACCATAAACATGAAAAATTATCAAACAATAAATGATGATTCAGCGTGAGTCACATCCATCAGGTGATAAAAAACAGGTAGCTTCATTAAGGCAGGCTGTTGTAAAATGATAAGTAACCTACTTCAGAGTTCAAAGGTCAGCATCAGTTAGCTGCTGCAGGCACGGTCAATAAAACTTTATTTATATTTATGCAACACAGCAAGCAGACAAAGAACAAAGCACGCTAATGACACTGAGACACGACGATGTAATTACAGTGTGTGTGTGTGTGTGTGTGTGTGTGTGTGTGTGTGTGTGTGTGTGTGTGTGTGTGTGTTGTCTGTGTGTGTTGCAGAATCAGATGCACGGTATCTCGGGGGTCCTGGCCGTGTTCCATTTATTGGAGTTCATTGTTTCCATCACCGTCTCAGCGTTCGCCTGTAAGGCTACCTGTAACTGTGGCAGACAGGTGAGTTCCTCCAGCCCGACTGTATATGTTTTTGTGTTCAGCTGTGAGGGATGTGTGTGTGTGCAAAGACTAACTGATGTGTGTGTTTGGTGTGTGTGTGTGTGTGTGTGTGTGTGTGCAGAGACTAACTGATGTGTGTGTTTGTTGTGTTTGTGTGTGTGTGTGTGTGTGTGTGTGTGTGTGCGTGCGTGCGTGCGTGCGTGCGTGCGTGTGTGTGTGCAGAGACTGACTGATGTGTGTGTGTGTGTGTGTGTGTGTGTGTGTGTGTGTGTGTGTGTGCAGAGACTAACTGATGTGTGTGTGTGTTTGTTGTGTTTCAGCAGCAGCAGCCGTTCTACATCATTCCTGGAAATGCTTCAATGGGTCCACAAGCTGTTCCCACTTTCGAAGCTGCGTCGGCCTCCGTGACTCTGCCCCCCCCACAGGTCAGCTGCCCCCTCCCTGAAGGAGGCGCTACAGAGCTCAGTGACTCAAGCAAACACAATCAGAACCAGGTTCAGTTGGGGGGGGGGGGAGCTAGTCATTGTTCGGAGGGTGCAGGTGCTGGTCGTTGTTCGGGGGGGGGGGAGCTGGTCGTTGTTCGGGGGGGGGGAGCTGGTCGTTGTTCATGGGGGAGCTGGTCGTTATTGGGGGGGGAGCTGGTCGTTGTTCGGGGGAGGGGGGAGCTGGTCGTTGTTCGGGGGGGAGCTGGTCGTTGTTCGGGGGGGGAGCTGGTCGTTGTTCATGGGGGGGAGCTGGTCGTTATTCAGACTTAGGATTGCAAGTGTCCAGGGTCAGGAGAGAGCGTGAGTGGGAAACCCATTGCCGCAACTTGGCCCTGGTTTGTCCTCATGGATGAGGTGTTGGGACAGAGGCATTCCACCTCACCCCAGTCCTAATGCCTCCATCCTGAAGACACACCAGGGCCAAGTGAGGCTGTGGGTGACCAGGAGGAGGAAAGAGAAAGAGAGAGAGAGACAATCATGATGAACTGATGCAATTAATCAAAGAGGACATGCGGTTCTAGAGGGAGGCAGCAGAGAAGAGGGCACAGGAGAGCAAGGCACAGATGGAGAGGATGTTCTCCCTTCTGGAGCGTTTGATAGAAAAATGATGTAAATAAAATATTTGAATTAAAATAGGAATCATTCATTTTCTTAATTTTTATGTTTGCTCTGTTTAGTGTTACTTTAATATACTTTTTAATTAATGAAAATCATTTAAATTGAATTCAGATATAAATGGTTTCTATTATTATATTATTGTTGTATTTATGGTAATCGAATATGCCAATCCATAAAATGTATATAAATTGAAAACATTTGGTTAATTTAACGAACGCTGTCAGGGTTGCTAGGAGACAGAACAGTTAGTGACGCAAGTAGGCAGTCCTCTCGTAGACAAGACCGTCTCATTTCGGAGACCGCTCAATTCAGTCTTCTCGGTCTACGGAGGACGTGGCTCCTGGAATGGGACACAGCTATTAAATCTGTTCCTGGTCCAGGTTTTGTTCCTGGTCCAGGTTGTGGTCCTGGATCTGGTTTGGGTCGTGATGGTGCTGTGTTGTTTTGCAGATGGTGAACCTCCATAAAGAGGGACTTACTGTTCCGGAGCCTCCAGCATACGATGTTAACTGACACAGCGTCACGAACCTGTTTCACGCTGACATGAGGTTCGGCTGCAACGTGAAATAAATTTAATAACTTTAAAACAAAGTGATTATAAAATGTAAAAACTGAAATTTAAACACCGAACTTTGAATCAAAATGTTTTCCAGAATAAACTGTTGAAATCTGACTCTAAATAAACTCCTTTCTGCTGACAGACTTTTTGTCTTCTCATCATTTCAAACGCATTAGCAAAGACGAGTGGATCATGCTAAAGCCATTAAAGGGAGATCATGCTAACGCCATTAAAGGGAGACTCCCCTGATCATGCACACGGTGTCTCCTTCATCAACATTTTAACCTCTTCTGGAAGCGATTATTCAGTTCGGACAACATTCACCCGAACTGGTAAAGCTGCTAATGGAGTTTCTCGCTCACATGTTATGCTCCAAGGTAATCATAAACATTCACCGAAGTCCACTCCCTCTGACCAGGCCCACTACCAGTGACGTCCCCCAGGTCCTAGGGCAAGTGTTAGTTACTGTGGTCCTTTAGTTACTGGTCCTTTAGTTACTGGTCCTTTAGTTACTGTGGTCCTTTAGTTACTGTTCCTTTAGTTAGTGTTCCTTTAGTTACTGGTCATTTAGTTACTGTTCCTTTAGTTACTGGTCATTTAGTTACTGGTCATTTAGTTACTGTTCCTTTAGTTACTCTGGTCCTTTAGTTACTGGTCATTTAGTTACAGTTCCTTTAGTTGCTGGTCCTTTAGTTACTGTTCTTTAGTTGCTGGTCATTTAGTTACTGTTCCTTTAGTTACTGGTCATTTAGTTACTGTTCATTTAGTTACTGTTCCTTTAGTTACTCTGGTCCTTTAGTTACTGGTCATTTAGTTACTGTTCCTTCAGTTACTGGTCCTTTAGGTACTGTGGTCATTTAGTTACTGGTCCTTTAGTTACTGGTCCCTTAGTTACTGTGGTCATTTAGTTACTGGTCCTTCAGTTACTGGTCCTTTAGTTACTGTGGTCATTTAGTTACTGTGGTCCTTTAGTTACTGTGGTCCTTTAGTTACTGGTCATTTAGTTACTGTTCCTTCAGTTACTGGTCCTTTAGTCACTCTGGTCATTTAGTTACTGGTCATTTAGTTACTGTTCCTTCAGTTACTGGTCCTTTAGTGACTTGTCCTTTAGGTACTGTGGTCATTTAGTTACTGGTCCTTTAGTTACTGGTCCCTTAGTTACTGTGGTCATTTAGTTACTGGTCCTTCAGTTACTGGTCCTTTAGTTACTGTGGTCCTTTAGTAACTGTGGTCCTTTAGTTACTGGTCCTTTAGTTACTGGTCCTTTAGTTACTGTGGTCATTTAGTTACTGTGGTCCTTTAGTTACTGGTCCTTTAGTTACAGGTCCTTTAGTTACTGGTCCTTTCGTTACTGTGGTCCTGTGTGTGTGTGTGTGTGTGTGTGTGTGTATATGTGTTTGTGTGTGTGCATCTGACTATGTATGTGTGTGAGTGTGTGTTTATTTTGGTTTTAATTGGATTTCTGAATCATAATTATGATTGTTGAAATATCTGTTTCTTGTCTTCCTGTTTTTAACCTTTGTGTAAAGCTCACTGAGCTTACCTGTAACGAAATGCTTCATAAATAAATGTTCTATTGTAAACCACAGTGTTGTTCTATCTAAACTCGCAGCACAAGCTGCCCTCTGATCCTGATCCAGAGTCAGTCCTGCAACAAAAACCGGTCTGTGAACCCTGAGATCACTAATTCTTGCTGCGAAATAAACGTAATGGACTGTCTGGGCCTCTTTTGTGGTGCGCCTGCAGTCAGGCTCATTGTCTATATTTATTCTGTCACCAAACAGCTGCTCAGAAAAGAAATCCCTGACACGTCGAGCCGACAGCTGCCATTCCTCTGAGGGTTCAGAGTGAAAATGGTAACAGACAGAGAGGAGCTCAGAGCGATGTCCCTCAACAGAAACAACCTGAACAACATGAAAGGGAATCATTAAGGAGCTTTAACAGGCACTCAGGACCACCACATTTAAAACAAATCTTGAGCAATCCTTTATAAAATACATCAAACTGCAAACTCTCTCTCCTGGATCCATAATGGCCGACAGCAGCAGCCCCCCGCTGACGTCCTATATCATGGACGAGGAGACTCTGAAGAGAAAACAGAAGGAGAAGCTGAAGAAGCTGATGGCTACAGGGGGAAACCCCCGACCTGCTCGCTCGCTCCTCTTCCTCACACTGAGGAACCCGTTCAGGAAGGCCTGCATCAGCATTGTCGAGTGGAAGTATCCTAAACCCCGTTTTGCTCTGACTGTAGATCCATGTGGTCAACTATGACCCGTCATGTAAATCTTTACTTCTCTACCAATTAGCTTTATTATGGTAGCCATGTAAGTTCTTCTTGGTAGCCTCGTTACTTTCTTATTGTTATCTTTGTTAGCTTCTTGTTGTTTGCATCGTTACCTTCTTATTCTTAGCCTTGTCAGTTTCTTGTAGTAAGCCTTGTGAGCTTCTTGTAGTTAGCCTTGTCAGCTTCTTGTAGTTAGCCTTGTTAGCTTCTCGTAGTTAGTTAGCCTTGTCAGCTTCTTGTAGTTAGTTAGCCTTGTGAGCTTCTTGTAGTTAGTTAGCCTTGTTAGCTTCTCGTAGTTAGTTAGCCTTGTCAGCTTCTTGTAGTTAGTTAGCCTTGTCAGCTTCTTGTAGTTAGTTAGCCTTGTGAGCTTCTTGTAGTTAGCCTTGTTAGCTTCTTGTAGTTAGTTAGCCTTGTGAGCTTCTTGTAGTTAGCCTTGTTAGCTTCTTGTAGTTAGTTAGCCTTGTTAGCTTCTTGTAGTTAGTTAGCCTTGTGAGCTTCTCGTAGTTAGCCTTGTTAGCTTCTTGTCGTTAGTTAGCCTTGTTAGCTTCTTGTAGTTAGCCTTGTTAGCGTCTTGTAGTTAGCCTTGTTAGCTTCCTATAAATCCTCTTCAGACCTTTTGAGATCATCATCCTGTTAGCCATCTTTGCTAACTGCGTTGCTCTGGCTGTATATCTGCCCATGCCAGAGGAAGACAGCAACAACACCAATAGCAACCTGGTGCGTCATTGCGTGTGTTTGTGTGTGTGCGCGCGCGTGTGTTTTCGTGTGTGTCTTAGTAATACTGTGTTTTAAATTCTAACAGTTTTTAATGTCTCACAACGTGCAGATTGAGTTGTCATAACTCTTTTCACAGCATGTTTTCATTGATAATAATATATCAAGATGACTTGTAACATTAATGTGTCACATTGATTAATAAGAATTGAATGAATCTTCTTTGTTCATCTAATCTTTTAATGTTCATGTTTTCATCACAAATTAAAACGGTTTGAAACAAAGTTCAGAGTCTTGTTTGATTTCATTAACATTTCATTTTTTAACTCAATGAATGTTTGACGAACTCAACATGTTTTTTTTTACTCACATGAACACTACGGCCTACGTTACACGCAGCACCGCCAGACATCACAGCGACAGCACTGCTGTTAAATGCTGACTTTGGAGGGGCAATATGTCCAGGTCTCTAAAGACCTCCATGGTCCACACTCTGATGACTGAGAAACAGGCTGGGCCACAAACGCACACAGATATGGGATGACTGATGGACCAGTGGGTTCATAAATTGGGATGTTTAGGCACGTGGGTTCAGGGATTGACCTTGCCCCCATTTGATCGTGGATGGATGTCAGTAGGTGTGTTCTGTCCGTTCAGAAAATGACATACCAATGAAACTTGCCAAACATGGGGTCAACATATGGAACCAACATGTGTGATGGTCCAGCTAAACATGGCGTCAACAATATTACAAAGAATAAATTAAAATCCTTAAAAGCACAAAAATATCTCTTTAAAGTTTCAGATCATTCCCAGATTTATCAGTGGGATTGTTAACTGTAACTAATTTTTCCACAGTCAGGTGTAAGGTGTAATGGCTGTGAATTTGCTTTTATTTAGCAAACAAACAGGAAGTACCTGAAATGAACTTGAAATATTGGTCACACGTGTTTCTTATCATTTTAAAGGTGAAGTAAAGTTTACTGTAAAGTTTAACATTCAGTAAAGGTTACCGTAAAAATGATGATGTAACTCTACCAAACCATTCCAACACTTTAAAGTTAAATACTTTTATTACAGATTATAATCAGTCTAATCAGTGTTTCTGTATTATCTCTGATCTATGGGTTAGGGTTAGTATGAAACACGCTCTGATGGTGGACCCAGCTGCAGTTTCAAAATGAAGGATTGACCTGATTTATCTCCAAGGACAAATATTGTCTCAAATATCAGCTGATTGAAATTAGAATGAAAGAGGACACAGGCAATCCTCTGAAAGACAGACAGGCAGGAGCAGATGGACAGAGAGAGACAGACAGACAGACAGACAGAAAGACAGACAGACAGACTGACAGGCAGGCAGGCAAACAGGCAGGCAGGCAGACAGACAGACAGACAGACAGACAGACAGACAGGCAGGCAAACAGAGAGGCAGGCAGGCAGGCAGGCAGACAGACAGACAGACAGACAGAAATACTTTTATTACAGATTATAATCAGTCTAATCGGTGTTTCTGTATTATCTCTGATCTATGGGTTAGGGTTAGTATGAAACGCGCTCTGATGGTGGACCCAGCTGCAGTTTCAAAATGAAGGATTGACCTGATTAATGTCCAAGGACAAAAATTGTCTCAAATATCAGCTGATTGAAATTAGAATGAAAGAGGACACAGGCGATCCTCTGAAAGACAGACAGACAGACAAACAGATTTAAAATCAACATAAAGTGACATATTAAAGTGAAATATAACCATTTGAACCAATGCAGTCAGTTTTTCTGTTTTCAGCGGTGTGAAAATGGTCTTTTCAGATCATAACAACAAACTACCGCCGCCTGCTGACAAGGAGAGTTATTTCCTTTCATGCATGAGCGTGGTGGTTGGCCGTCGGCTGTAGTCTTAGCGGTGTGTTCAAGTGCAACTTTTTGGCCAAGACGTGAGGCAACACCACAGGCGGCCTTCGTCGACAATACTTCTTTGCCGTCTGCTTGTTGTGTCATGGCCTTTAGTAGTAGCCTTAAATAGTAGTTCTCGAAGTTGCAAAGGTGACAGGCGCCCTCTTTTGGTATAAAATGGTATTACATGTGACTGCTGGTAAACTAGTAAACAGCTTGTCGGTTAATATATTTTTAATCGGTTGGATTCTT